TGCAGGGCAGCTAGCCATTTCCCCTCTCCGCGCCCCTCCCCCCCCCCCCCCCCCCAGCTTCCCACACAGAGTAGGGCTGGGCTTGGCCTGGTCGTAAAACCCCTGGATTAATTCAACTGTCTATAGGGTCTCAGAGAATATTTAATGAGGAAATTAAACAGCTTAACCAACCTACAAAAGAACAGATAATCCCACAAATGACTGCCCTAGAGTTTAGTATTTCTAAGTTCCAGGACAGGCTGGCCCTATGGACCAAATATATATTTGATTTTCTACAGAGAGGAAGGGAGAGGGATAGAGAGCCAGAAACATCAATGAGAGAGATACATCGACCAGCTGCCTCCTACACACACCCCCACCGGGGATGTGCCCACAACCAATGTACATGCCCGGGACCTTTACAGTCTGCAGACCAACGCTCTATCCACTGAGCCAAACCAGTCTAGGCCCCAGAGTCTCTTGTCCCAAGGCCAGCCTGCTCTTCTTGCCTGAGGTAGCCCCGGCACTACTTAGGGCCTGAGTTCTCACCTTTATCAACCTGAGTGGCAACAGTTTCACCCGCATCCACTGCCTGCCTGCCACAAGCACGTGGGAAAGCAGCAGAGCGGTGAGGAGAGCTTGGTCTGGCTTCCAAGTCTCACTCGTGGGGCCACTGCATACGTGTGGGAGTCACGGAGCAAGCAACCTGTCTGTGGCTCAATTTCCTCTGCTTAGAGAAAGCCGATGGTCCTGGTAGCTATAGCGTTAGGGCAAGGTGACCAGATGTCCCGCTTTTGGTGGGACAGTCCCGATTTTTAACCATGTGTCCCGCTGTATTTTAAAAAGTCCCCGTTTTTTGGACTTGTAAAAAAAAAAAAATCGGGACTTTTTAAAAATGCCGAGTGACACATTGTTAAAAATCGGGACTGTCCCGCCAAAATCGGGGCGTCTAGTCACCTTACTTTAGGGGCTTAATCACAAGGAACAACCACCCGCCTGTAATTATTGGAATCCAGAGTCATTCCACGGCTGTATTTACTGAGCACTTACTCCCTGCAGGCGCTAAATATAAAGCAGCAGGGAACAAAGATACAGAAGGCCCTGCTCTCCTGAAGCTTCAATGGGAGTAGGGGGAAACAAGTACACAGATACACGTCCAAAGGTGACAAAAGTAAATAAAAATGAAAGCAGGACAAGGGGACAGCAAATGACAGGCCAAGCAGCAGAGTAGTTGAGGGCCTGAAGGATGTGAGGCAGACGGTCACACATATATTTGCGGGGCACACATCCTAGGAAGGAGGAACAGCAAATGCAAAGGCTTGAAGGTGGGAGTGTGTTCAAGAAACAAAGACCAAGAGCATCGGCCTGCAGACCGACCGGTCCCGGGTTCAATTCCAGTCAAGGGCACATACATACCTCGGATGCAAGTTCCTCCCGGGTTCGGGCCCTCGTAGGGGGGCGTGCAAGAGGCAACCAATCGATGTGTTTCTCTCACATGGATATTTCTCTCCGTCTTTCCCTCTCTCTTCTTCTCTCTCTAAAAATCAATGGAAAATTATCCTCAGGTGAGGATTAAAAAAAAAAAAAAAGGAAAGGAAAAAAAAGAAACAAAGACCAGTGTAGCTGGACTGAGCAAACGAGGGGAAAGTTGGCAGGAGGAGACATTCGAGAGGCAGTGGGAGAGGCCAGATCTCAGGGCCTCCAGGGCTCGGGTCTGACTGTGAGCAGCATGGGGAGTTCGCAGAGTTGTGAGCCGGGGAACACAGGGGGACCTGTTGAGAAGCGTGGTGCCTGGCAGACAGTGGGCACGTGATAAATGTGAACTCTCCACATTACTTTGTCACCATCAGGCCCTGCACCCCAAGACCTCCCTTCTCACCACTCCAAGCCCTGAACCCGGTCACCTTCTGGCACCTTCCTTCCGCCCATCTCCCCGGCCAGGCCTCAGACCCACAGATCCCAACTTGCCTGCACTCAGCCTGAGAACAGGCCTGGGCCACGTCTGGTGGGGGCCAAGACTCCCGTTCACAGGGAGCTGAGCCTAGGGCATGGGGGGAGGGGTCCATCTCTGTTCCTTCAGCCTCCCTCCCTCTGTGGACTGACCTGCGGCCCTCGGCCCTCCCTAGGGCCCTCCCTAGGGAAATCGCCAGGGCACAACCCCCTCCCAGCAGCAGGTCGAGAGCAAGGCGGGGCAGAAGGGGCTGGGCAGAGCAGCCAGTTATGTCAAGAGGAGGACTACAGTAATGATGCCCTGAGGGGAGAGAAGGCTCCTCCATTTCCGGCCAGCCCACAACCTCCCCGGTGAGGAAACCCAGCGGAGGCAGGAAACAGGTATCTCAGCGACTTCCCTCCTCAGCTCTGGAAAACACTGTAATCACTGCGGCCTCCTCAAGACTCCCATCTCCCGGCAGGGCGGGCCCCACGAAAGGAAGGGCTAAGGCCCCAGCAGGAAGAAAAGGGGTCAGCGGGCCCTGAGTCACCCAGACCTGGCCCCCTGCCCCAGCAGGCCTCCGCACCGCCACTGAAATTAGCCCCACAATTCATCACAGATCACTATCTCCTGTCTCCTGCCCCTCCTGAGACCCCGAGCTCCCTAAGGATCGCCTTATCCTCCTCTCACATCCTCCTCTCACCCACTCACTGCTGGCCTATGGCTGTGAACGGAAGGGTACAAGAGACAAAGGGCAAGTAGGCAAGGAGGAGCCCACGGTGGGCAAGGAGGAGCCCAAGGCTTGCTGGGGCCCTGGCAGCAAGGTGATGTCATTTAAAACCTACAACTCCTTACTCTCATTTTACAGATTTGAAAACCAAGGCTCAGAGAGAAAAGCTTGCCCCAGATCACAGAGCTGGGAAATGGCAGAGCTGGGATTCAAACTTGAGTCTGTGAGCCTCCAGAGGCCAGCTCTTTCCAGGCCTCCACCGTTCGCCTGGGGTGGGGCCGTGAAGACTTTTGTGCGGTTGCTGGGGAGACTCTCTAATCTCACAGGTCTGGGGCTGTCTATTTTCTGATCTCTGTTTGGGGAAAGCAGAGACGGGGCCTGATCTTGCTCACCCATAAACCCCAGCCCCCAGCGCCGTGCCAGCCGCACTGATACACGAATAGGTGCTCAGCCAATAGCTGCCCAAGGAGAATGAATGAGCCCTGGACACCTGTTGACTGTCCTGGGATGCTGCTCAATGAAGATGTGTGGAATGAACAAGTGGATGAGATGACTGGCTACAATCCGGGAATTTCGCTGGAAATTCCTCCAGAACACAGCAAACAATTCCCCACCCCCTCCCCACTCCTGCCATAGCAAAACCCAGGCATCCAAGAGACAGGGCAGACGGGGCAGAAGGGGCTGGGCAGGGCGAGGCAAAGCTGGGGGAGAGACCAGAAAGGCAAACAGGCCCTAGCCAGTTTGGCTCAGTGGACAGAGCGCTGGCCTGTGGATGGAAGGGTTCCGGGTTCGATTCTGGTCCAGGGCACGCACCTAGGTTCCAGGCTTCTCCTCGGCCCTGGCCCGGGTTAGGGCGTCTGCAGGAGGCCCCACCAATTGATGTAAACACATCAATGTTTCTCTCTGTCTTTCCCTCTCTCTTCTACATTCTCAATGGAGAAATATCCTTGGATGAGGATTTTAAAAAAAACACTAAAAAAAAAAAAAAAACACAAAAAGGCAGACAGCCCATGTGCTAGCTCGGTGCCTCCTTTTTGGAAAAGTGAAAATCAGTGTTGGGAGCTGCAAGTTCAGGTCAAGACTGGGAGGCAACTGGATGGGCCCTGCTGAAGATGGTTGCTGAGAAAAAGGATTAAGGAAGCTGCCCAGATGCGGGTGGTGGGGTGGGGGTGGGGGGTGTAGGAGAGGTGCTGGGTGGGTGGGTCATGAGAGGTGAGGGGTCAGATCCGGGTGGGAATTAACAAGTGACTCAGGAGTCCAGAGGTGAGAGGGAGCTGGCCAGGCAAGGCCAGACTAGGGAGTCGGTCAGTCACTGGGTAAACACCGGCCAGCTTAGAAAAATCCCTCTCGGCTCTGAGAACATGGAGGCAGGGGCAGGGACCGCAGGGACCACCTCAGAAAGGGCGGAGGTGGTTCTGTAGTTCCCCCAAGGGCAGGCCCAGCTTCCCCAGATGTGCCCCCACCTACATCTGCCACCAGCGCCCTGCCCATTGACCCCACCCCACCCTCCTGGAGTTCATTCAGGTCCTCAGGGCCTCTCCTGGCCAAGAGTTCTCTTTTCCTCCGCAGAGGCCCATCCCAGCTCAGAGCAGGGGACTGGGCTGAAGGGGCAGCCCCCACCCCCTCCCGCACCTTGAAGGGGGAGGGGGGTGGGGGGCAAGGAAAGCTGAGGAAGCAGATCCACGGAATGTCCACCACACAACAGGCCCGGCACCAGGCACTCTTCGGAGCATTCCACCCGGTCCTACACATGCGCTGGGAGGCCACACATTTTATGTCCCTTCAGGCATGTGGGCTGGTCTCAGCTCCACTCGCTGGCTCCGGGTCACACAGCTCTCAGTGGAGAGCAGGGATTGATTCAAGAGTCCTGAGCGGAGGGGCTCTGGGTCCGGGGTGTCACCCCAGGCTCAGCTGTGTCCTAGTGGCCCTTTCCTTGTGGCTCCCCAAGGGCATAGGTCTCCACCGCCACGGAGTGCCCCCTTTTCAAAGCTGGCACGGACAGGGGTGCCCACGTCCCTTGCCCAGCCAAGTTCCCACCCTGCTCCAAACTTTCTCAGTCTGGTCCCCAGGAACGGGAGGCCGGGCCGAGCCGAGCCCAGGGCGACTCGGAGACCCGACAACGTGGCTGGGCGACCCACGGGCTCCCACGCGGGAGGCCCCGCCCCCGGCCCCACAGGACAGCCCCGCGCGGGACGGGGGCGCCGGCCTGTGCCCGCCGGCCCGTGCCCAGCCGGGGGTCCGCGTCCGGAACCGGAGTTCCAACAGCGCAGCTCCGGGGGGGCCCCCCCCGCCAAGTTGGCGGGCACAGCGATCAGGGCCCGGGCGCCCCCCCTCGCCCCGTGCCTCCGCCCGCACACTCACCCCGAGCAGCCGCCCGTGCAGCAGCAGCGCCAGCAGCAGCGCGCCCGCCGCCGGCCGCCCCATGGCCGGCCCGCTCCTCTCGCTCGCGCGCTCGGCGTCCGCCCGCAGCTGCCCGCTCGCCGGCCTGCGGAGCGCGGAGTCCTCGGGACAGCGCGGCCCGCTCCCGCCCCCGCCACCCCCACTGCGCCCGCCGCCCGCCCCGCCCGGTCCGGCCCAGCCCCGGCCCGCCCCGCCCCCGAGGCTGCCCGCCCCGCCCCCGGATCCTGGCCACGCCCCGGACCGCCCCTCGGGGCTCCAGGCCCCGCCCCCTGGAGCCTGACCCCCGCGCCCCGAGGCCACTGGCCCCGCCCCTCCGGGGCGCAAGGCCCGGCCCCTGAGGCCTCCAGCCCCGCCCCCGGATCCTGGCCCCGCCTCTCCGGGCGCCAGGCCCCGCCCCGGAGCCTGGCCCCGCCCCCGAGACCGCTGGTCCCGCCCCTCCAGGAGCGCCAGGCCCCGCCCCCGGGCCGCGGGCGCCGCTCCTCGGAGCCGGCGGCACAGCCAACTGGGCCTTTGTCTGGCCCCCAGCCCCCTCGGCGGGCCGCGGCCCAGCCCGGCTCCCCGCCAAACCCGGCCTGGAGTGTAGAATGGGACGGCGGACGGGGCCTCCCTCCACGCGCACCGCCGCTCCCGCGCGCCCCCACGGACTGCCAGACCCGTAAAACCCCTTTCCCCCTTCCCACACCCCGCCGGCGTGACTCCCCCCGACGCGGGCAGCTCTGGAGGACAGGCACCTGAGCATGTGCTCGCACCCGTGCCAACTTTCGGTCACAGGAAACTTTCACACTCACAAGTGTCACGCACTAGCACTTTCATCCGCTACCTGAGAGCACTGAGCACATTTTCAGTCTTTAAAAAAAAAAAAAAAAAAAAAAAAATATATATATATATATATATATATATATATATATATATATATATTATTGATTTTTTTACAGAGAGGAAGCGAGAGAGATAGGAAGCTGGAAACATGGATGAGAGAGGAACATCAATCAGCTGCCTCCTGCACACCCTCCACTGAGGATGCGACTGCCACCAAGGTACATGCCACTGAGGGGAATCAAACGTGGGACCCTTGAAGTCCGCAGTATCCACTGAGCCAAATCGGTTTCGGCCCATTTTCACTCTTATACCAACTTCTTTACACTAATAGTCTTCACAGACACAAATGAATACTTTATCTCTTCAAAATGCTCACCTCTGCAGGTGACACAGTGGACACAGCTGACACACTCACATTCACATATTTACACAGACTCACATAGACACGAAGCATTGAGGACATTTTTTTTTTGCCGAAACCGGTTTGGCTCAGTGGTAGAGCGTCGGTCTGTGGACTGAAAGATCCCAGGTTCGATTCCGGTTAAGGGCATGTACATTGGTTGCGGGCACATCCCCGGTGGGGGGTGTACAAGAGGCAGCTGGTCAATGTTTTTCTCTCACCGACGTTTCTAGTTCTCTATCTCTCTCCCTTCCTCCTCTCTGTAAAATATCAATTATATATATATATATATATATATATATATATATATATATATATATATTTTAAAAAGGACATTTTTTCACACACAAAATCCTCACAGGCGCCTACAGTTCACACACACAGGCCAACCATGTTCTCACACACTAACCAGTAGGCACTCAATCCTGAATGGCCCCTGACACATGCCACCATCCATATAAATCACAGACCAACTTTGATTCCCATAAATCACAGCCCCTGCGACAGAGACACACCAGCTCCCCCATCCAGGCCCAGACACAGACAGACCCTGCCAGAGCCCCAATCACAGATGCTGGGGTGGTAAATCACAGTCCCTGATGATCCCCATCTGACACAGACCCACCCGGGCAGGCACACATGGCCCCGCCACCAGGTCTCCCTCCTGCCCACGCACAGGACTCCTTTCTGCCTGAAAATTTCCAGGACAGCCCAGGCTGATGGGCGGAGAGAAAATTGATGTGTGTGTAGCTTTAGAGGAAAACCTTTTGAGTAATGATAGAGGGAGGAGAAGAAAAACTGAAGTTTCCTTTGTTTCCTCGAGAGTTGCTAGGTTCCAGAGACTCGCGGCTGGGTGTGCAGCCAGGAGGGAGGTGAGCTGTGGACAGAAGGAAATGCCTGGCTGACAGGGTGGCACCGGGCCTGGCTCCGGAAGGTGTGTTCCCTGTGATAGCAGCCTGCAGTCTTCCAGGCAGGCACTCTGGGGCCCCCTACCCAGGCACCTGGGGGTCAGAGAAAATTCTAGCGTGCTGGCCTCCCTCCCTGTTAGGTGTTGTCTCTATAAGATGGGCTTCTCCACCTCATGGGGCATATTTCTGGGGACCAGCTCAGAGCTGTAAGGAGCAGAAATTCATCCACAATGTTTTGGCCAACTCCCTGTGCCCAACCCAGATGCCAGGCACAGCACTGAATAAAACCTCTTTTTTTTTTTTTTTTTTTTTAAGAAAAAGGAGGGGAGCCCTGGCCGGTTTGGCTCAGTGGATACAGTGCCAGCCTGCAGACTGAAAGGTCCCGGGTTCGATTCCAGTCAAGGGCATGTACCTTGGTAGCGAGCACATCCCCAGTGGGAGGTGTTCAGGAGGCAGCAGATCGATGTTTCTCTCTCATGGATGTTTCTAGCTCTCTATCTCTCTCCCTTCCTTTCTGTAAAAATAAAAATAAATAAATAAATAAATAAAACCTACAAAAAAGAAGAAAAAAGAAAAGAAAAGAAAGAAAGAGTTGAGAGAGAGAGAGAGAGAGACTGACTCCAACCAACCAGGGCAAGGGCAAGGTCTGTTTCTGACCCAGACAGGGAGATAGGGGTGGACACAGAGGGACACCAGATCTCCCCCCTTGATGAGCTCCTAATCTGACGGAGGAAAGAGGAAGGATGTTGTCCCTGTTTTCACGTTGTTTTCAGTGCGATGGGGCATCCTGCCCCCATCACCGTGCTGTGCAACCTTGAACCAATGATTCGACCTCTCAGCATAGCTCCTTCTCCTCATCAAGAAAGGAAGACTAATGCTAAGACCTGCCTTACAGTGTTGTTAGGAGAGTTAAAATGAATCCATATCGATGTTTAAAAGAACCGTTTCAGGCACATAGTAATTACTACATAAGTGGGGGAGCTCCGATTCCAAAGAGGGAGACACAACTCTGCCCTCAGGTGGGGGGTAGGGACTCCTGTCTGATGGAGGAGCCGCTTCTCACCCAATGTGTTAATCCCAGGCTGAAGGCCGGATGCAACCCCCACCCCAGGGACCTGCAGCCTGATGGAGGACTACAGCCTGTGCCTGAGAACTCCCTGGCTATAAAACTCCGCTGACTTCAGAGCTGGCGGGTGGCCAGCGCTGGTGGCAGGGTTTTTTCCAAGGCCCTGCCTGTCTGTGGAGGTCAGCATCCGTGACAAATCGCATTTTGTGAGCTGCCTCAGTGTCTGTTCCCCACCTCAGGCCCTTCAAGTCCCAGAACGTTGGCTTCTTGGATGATTTGCTCATGAGCAAAGGGAAAAGGGGAACAAGTAACCCTTTGTGGATGTTTGGTCAGGACGAAAACCCAAGCCGTAAGCCTTGCTTCCGAAAGGAGGCTGGGGAGGGAGCCGGTAAGGCCGACCTGAGCCGCTGACGCGGAGAGCTGGAAAACGCGGCCTGTCTGGAAAGCCTTCCAGGGTAGCTCCACCCGCCCTGGGAACTGGTCATCCACCTATTTATTCTGCATCCTCTCCCCGCGAAGGGACTTGGCCGGCTCTGTTTTATTTTGCAGTCCTCGATATCTTTAGTAAATGTTCTCAAGTGGCTTTGTTTAGGGCCTGGCGTTCTCCTCATATGGCTCAGACGAGGAGCAGGGGCAGGGCCTTCTGGGCTGCGCGGAGCCTGCAAGGCGCCTGTAATTGCACTGTAGGTACTCGTAACTCCCAGTGCTCCTCGCGCTCTTTGGAAAAGAAACAGCTCGAGTCTTGCACAAGGTTCCTTCGATAAGGAGAGGCTACAGGGCTTGGGTAGGCACGAGCAGCCAAGCACGCTGGCGTCTGAGAAAAACAGGAGTCGGGGGGGCCTTCTGGAACCAGTAGCCAGCGCTTGTGAATCATCTGCTCCCATGTTGACAGGACTCAGCTTCCCCTGGCTTTCACTCCCACTCCCGATTCTTTCCTCTTCCTCAGGCCTTCTCACTCATCTCACATTTTATTTACTCATTCATTCGTTCAGGCCCGCAAGGGACCATTAAGGAGGTTGTTCCCACAAGGGTCTGCAGCCAAGTGGGCCCTGTGGTGAGGCCGTATCTGCTCAGAGGGGGTACCTTTTGCGAATATGAGCAGAGACACTGTGTGGACTAGCGGTGGCCCTGCACTCATTCAATAATGAAAGCAAACCTGCCGAAACCGGTTTGGCTCAGTGGATAGAGTGTCGGCCTGCGGACTGAAGGGTCCCAGGTTCGATTCCGATCAAGGGCATGTACCTTGGTTGCGGGCACATCCCCGGTGGGGGGGGTGTACAGGAGGCAGCTGGTCGATGTTTCTCTCTCATCAATGTTTCTAGCTCTCTGTCCCTCTCCCTTCCTCTCTGTAGAAAATCAATAAAATGTATTTAAAAATAATAATAATGATGAAAGCCCACCTCTATTTTGCATAGAGTTCCAATGCCTGTGTGGGTAAACAGGAGGTAGCATGGTAAAGCTATGTAATTGGGTGAGAATGTGGAGTAGGAAATTGCTATGGAGAGGGAGTGGGATGGAGGGAAGGAAAAAGGGAGATGATGTGGCGAAGAGGAGGAAGTAGGGGGAGGACATAGTTAAAAGCAGGCGGCAAAACTTCCCTTGGACAGCCCAGCCACTGTGGCTCAGTGGTTAAGCATCGACCCATGGACTAGGAGATCACGGTTTGATTCCCAGTCAGGGCACATGCCCTGGTTTCAGGCTGGGTCCCCAGGAGGAGGCGGGCATGCAGGAGGCAGCCGATCAAGGATTCTCTCTCATCATTGATGCTTCTGTCCCTCTCTCCCCCTCCCTTCTTCTCTGAAATCAATAAGAACTTTTTTTTTTTTTTTTT